GATGCTTAGGTGCAAGGCTTAGCATTTATCCATCCTGAGCAGGTATGTGAGCTTCTTTTATATTTAAAAAAAAAAAAAGGGGGGGGGGGGGGCTAACCTGGCTCTTAGAGCTCTAACACCGCATTCACCCAGATTAGGTGACAATTTGGGATTGTGATGGAGCCTTTTTGTCCTCAATTTGTCATCAGTAGAAGTGTTTGGCATCTTCAATGGTCAAGGTAAATTTTCTTCTTCAGGGAGGGCAGGAGTTGTTTCCTCAATCTGAATTTTTGAAGTGGTTTCAGAGATTTTTTTAAAATCCCAAGGTGAGAACGTCAGGCAAATCAGTCTCCCAATTGAGAGAAGTGGGACAGTAACAACTCCTCCTTTTGCTTTTACCTGCTCAGTGTTTGCACCTTTGTTAGGTTACCCCTGTTGTACTGTCCTTCAGAGAGGTTGCCAAAACACTGCTCTTCTCTAAATCATAGAGACTGGCTTGAAGTATACTGTGACTTATTAGTTGACAAGTAGTTTCTCTTTACTTCAGGAAAACAGGCACATAAATAAAACTTTGCTATGGAATGGGTCCCCAAGGTGACCCTTGCATTTTGGTGAGTTCTGGGCCATAGGTGAGCTCTGGAACTCACCCGGAGTCATTGGCCTTCTGTCCTGAAATCCTGTATTTAGAAACACAAGCTTGCCCATTTGCTTTGTTTCTTCTCCATGATAATATCCTGTTTGTGTCTTGCTCAAAAATAGACATAGATTAATGCAATGTTGACAGCAAAATCACCAAGGAAGAAAACTGCTGCGCTAGATAAACTTTATAGGTCATGTTCCTCAAGTTTTACAAACACTCTGAGATGACTATTTGTGTAATAAGGCATGACAGGGATTGTGATTATCATAAAATAATCAAACTCTGGAGTATTTTAAAGGTGCAAAGCATAGCCACCAGTGTTTAATTTTCCCAGAAATATGATTGTGGTAACACCCACCATCATCTGGCTTGAGATGCCTGTGCTGCCTAATTAGCATGTACCTACATGCTTAATTGTGTGCATACATATCTGCACCTACAGGAAATCACAAGTAAAGCTGTGCACAATTTTTACTGAAAGTAATATCAAGAAATTGGAGCTAAAAATTGTGTTGCACTTCCATGCTGAAGAGACAAGATTTGCATCTTCTTGTGTCAGTAATAAGAAAAAATTCTATTCCATTTGTGATGCAGGTGGTAGAGATGCATTTTACTTCAATGGCATGTATCAGCACTGATTGTAAGGGCTTCTGATGATGCTGGGTGCAAGGGATTAGGACAGCAGAGTCCAACTCAAGGGTTTAAAAATGGGGAAAAAGAGCAGTGTATCAGCTAAAAATAAACACCTGGGAATTGATAGGAATTTCCACTCATGAAGCACATGCTGTCCCCAGACCATCTGCAGACCTCTTGCTATGGCCTTGAAAACTGCACCGTGGTGCTTCAGGACGTCTGATAAGGATATTTCGGGCTTGAAAGCCTGAAAGTAGCATCTCTTTGAATCTCCCTTCAGCTGTGATATCATGTTTGTTGTTGTGTTATCTTAGCAGTATGACCTAATGCAAAGCTAGTCATTAGTAGTTCAGTTATTTATATAGTGCTGGTAGCTTTCTGGATAGTTTATAAATGTAAACACAAAGGTGTAAATGTATTAGCAAGGCAGATTAAACACAATGCTGGGAGAAGCAGGTTGCTGCACATTGCTGGGTAACAGACTGATAGTGTCTGGTGAACACCATGTACAGAACTCACTGCCACAGTATAGTGATCTCTAACAGGGATTTGTTGGCCAGATACTCCTATGGATACAAAATGCCCATAGGTGTGATGGTGGATGTTCATGTTTCTGACTGCTGGGTGCCCTTCTTGGTGCCTGGGGTGAACAGGAAGCCCCCCCACAAGAGGTTACTCCTTAGTAACCCATGCTGGGTTCTCCCATGTTTGTATCAAACAGCTGACTGCCTGATGCAAAATAGGAAGCTCAAATCACTTTTGTGGCTTATTAACACTTAATTAATAACCCATTAGTGACACAATAGCCTGATCAGAGTTTGATTGGACTTGTGTGCCAGTTGTGCTGGAGGTCACCTGGGCTGTACCAGTGCTGTCATCCATGGGTGAATTGCCCTTCTGAGAGGCTTGGATCCGCTGTTGAAGTCCTTGAGAGCTGGAAACCAGTGTTAGGCTGGCAGTTCCACTGGAGACGCATCTGAGTTGCTGTCGAGGCAGACATGCATTATTAGCTGTGGCGGTGACGGTGTCAAGGCACTGATGGGAAGAGCGCTTTAGGGGACCTTGTCCTCTGGCTCTGTGGTCTTATTAGAATGGTTTGATACAGGCCTGCAGCCTCCGGGGCTGCTGGGTGCTTCTCGGGGTGCTCGTGTGTGCTGTGCTGTAAACTTGCCCAAGATATTTCAGAGTTCTGACCCCACAGAAGTCTGTCACAGAAGCTTTAATATCTTGTAGTTGTAGTGGCTTCTGCAAAGTTGCTCTGTTATACAGCTGTAAATGAGGTGGTATTCAAGGGAGTATTGATACAAGCCTCAGACTTGTACAAATATGGTATAGTAGTTATCTATTTCCTACCTAAGTAGTATTTATACTGTGGAAGTACACTATAAATACAAGCATCGTGGGTTTGTATTTTCTCAAGAACATGAAAATCCTGGTGGGAATGCTTTGCCTTTTGAGCTCGCAGTTCTTTTTCCCTGCTGAAGACTTGCTTGGGGTTGCTAAAGTGAGTTAAGTCAACTCTCTTTGTCCCTACCCATCTTGTTCACTGATTAACAACTCTCCCCCTGCCCCAAAATAGAGAACGATTGCTTTAGCACCATTAATGCTTGATGAAGATGACATTGTGACTGCAAATTAATACCTTCTCTCCTTGCTCTGTCTCTTTGTCACTTGCTGGCTGATGTAGAAAGCAAAGCAATAAAGTGAAATACGGGATGATGTGTAACTGGGTCAATGCATCCTGTTCAGCACCTTTGCCAGGAATCGTAAAGTGTATGGAGCATCAAAGTTCCTGCTTTTGGCTGCATCTCATTCAATTAGTCTATCAAATCCCTCATTAAAGTTCTTGAGCATTTAGATCTACATAATTAAAATACCATTACACTTAGTGGAGGAGGAAAAATCCTTTCAAGTGCTTTGTATCATTAAAAAAAACTTCCATCAGGATGTGATATTGCAGTATTCATTATTATTAAAACATCTTGCAAGTGAAGAGGATGAAAACAATTCATTTTATACTGCCAACTCCACAAATGGACTCAAGGTTCAACTTTATTATACAGTTTCCTTTGGCTTTTGGTTTCTGCCTGCTGTGTGCACACAGGATTTGAATGAGGAAAGGCATTTTGGCTGGGCTCCAGCTGTTCCACGTCTATCTGTGCATGCTTCCATCACTCATCTTGGTACTGATTCTGGTGCTCTTTGAGGTGACATTTGCTTGCTTGTGATAGTGATACAGTACTGCAACTACTACCAGTATTACTATTCATAGTACCAGTTTTCCTTAGTGATTTGGGATCATAGGTATAATATAAAAAAATCCGGAAGCCTCTCAGTCCAGCTGGTGGATCTACCCCAGAATTGGGTATGGAGCGTAAGCTGGGATGCGAGCAGGGCGACTTGTGTCTGAGTAGTGCCTAGGACTTTGTGTGAAAGATTTGCTACCTGCCTTCTTAATAGATCTTGTGGTTTTTTTTTCTTTTTTTAGTATAAGGCCAAGAATAGGAAGCCAGACAAGAGCAATAAACACTCAACTGTCCCATAGTATCATGTAAGCTGTCCACATGGACAGGGCTGAAATCTATTAAAAAATTGGTTACTGCTGCAGTAAGAACTTGTGAGGTCGTTGTTGCCAGTATGGTGCCTGGGTCCTCAGAAGTTACTTCTAGGCTTCAGCTTGATGCTTTGTTTTGCTAAAAATATGTGATTAAAACATGTTAACTCTCTCCTCTGCCTCCTAAAAGCCAGAATTGGGGGTATGTGGATAAATCCATGTCTGTCTAGCATGTTAAGTGTCATAAATATTTCATTTTTGTTTCAGAAAATGGCTACAATGTGTTGGGAAACCCTAATCTTAATATTCCGGGTTATACAGAATCAACTATAGCAAAACTCAATTTGCCTTTTCCTTTCACATTTTACTGCCTTTTAAAAATAATTGTATCCCTAGGATTTATAGTAATTGGGTCTATTGCATTTTTAGTTAATTATGTATTTTTGATTAATGCATTCTATTTTGGAATAGTTTGCTTAGAGTATCTGATTGTGATTTAATTTTCAGGTTATTGCTCTTAGCAACCTGAGGAAATGGTTTCTAGATAGTGGTGTTAATTAGCTTTGGTGACAAGTGTTATGTCCAAGATAAATTTCTGTATTGCAGTTAGTTTTATGTTGTCAAATCATATCAAATACTACTACTTAATTAAAACAAATGGGGTGAATTTGCTTATTAAGCATGACAAAAGATAAGTTTAGACAGTTTTTAAAAGAAAAGTAGATGAAAATGTACCCAGCAATGCCAAAAACATTTGAGTTTTTGGTTTTCAATAGAGGTATCTGCAAAACGCAATGTGGAGTTGAGTCTTTATGCTTACACTGTCTGGTGTCACCTGGCAAGGAAAGTCAAACAAGTTTTATTTATTTCATAGCCTCTTCTTTTTCTGCCAAACTTGCATTTAGATTAAGTGGAACCATCAGAGCTTAACGGCTGCTGAGTCAGGGGTTTAATTATTTCAGTCTTTAAGAAATTAAGTGGTTTAGACACATAAGCAAATAGGGAGGTGACTTCTTTGTGAAGAAAGCATGAGACGGCAAAAGGACTGGTCTTCAAATCTTACCAGATGTTTCTTTGCAGTACCTGCATGATATCATAACTCAAAGCTGTATATCTTTATACAATGATATCCAGTGATGTCTGTTAACCATATCATGAGACAGTCAGTGACCACTGTTCATGTGCGTTTTGCAGGAGGCTTCCAGTCCAGTTTGTAAGACACTGCTGATGTGGATACTGTTAATAGGCAATGACTTGCCAGCTGTTTGGTTTTAAGACGAAACTTCTGGAAGCCGAGATGCTTATTGCAATTCAAATTGCACCTTGGAAGGGGACAAAAATGGTAAGAACATAAATTTTGCTGTCTTTAGGTAGCCATGCTGCTCTCAATGTGATAGTCTGCTAATGGTTACTGCTTATTTTCACTCATGTAGTTGCTTTTTCTTTGGATTTGCTCTTAAGTGGAAAATCATCCTTCAAAACCGTGGTTGGTTTCTCAAAGTAAAATCAGAGTGCCTCACACTAAGCGTGTGTGTGCAGGCACAGAATTAAAGTTACCAAAAGCAGTGTGGATTCTTGTTAGTGTTTTCTGAACATGAAAACTGCTGCTCCTGGATGACCTAAAGTTCAAGGAAAGCTTCAGACAGTTGTGTGTTTCTAGTGCAGTTTCCAGTGCTTGCAGGTGATAATTAAGCTTTTAGACATGGTCACTGAGTGTTTTGAGTAATTAATGTGGCTCTACAGTGTACTTAAAGAACAGACAAGGTCCAAATAATAAAGAAAAATCAAAGTTAATGATTGAAACTGAAGGTTACACTTGCCTTTGCATCAAGCTTTCTTTAAAACTCACCTCCACGTAAGTCTAACGAACTGGAAAAGTTTAAATGTTCTTCAATATCTAACCAATTACATCCTTTTTTAAGTGGTGCTGAGAAATCACAGCTCCAGTTGCAGCTAATGGAAGTAGTTGTAGCTCAGCACTCCTGAAAATTGGCTTCAAGGAAGTGTCGGGACCTGTCTACAGTCTCTGAGGTCAACCTGCTCTAAGTCAGAACAGAACTTTCCATAATAATCAGCCCCAAGCTGTACATTTTAACTTACAGAAAATCCTGTGAACCTCAATATTTTTCCTTTGGACTGGGAAAATAAACACAAGCCACTTAAATCTGAAACGTTAATGTAACCTGGCTTCTCCTGATCACAGACTTCTCTAATTTGTCTGATCCTGGCTGTCCTGCTTCCCTGGGGATGGGTGGTGGAAGGGAGCTGCAGGGTTAGTGCTGCCTTGGCTGGCCTGGGGCTCCTTCTTCCATTCACTTTAACCATGTGAGCTGGCTCTGGAGATATCCTACATGTGGGCTGAGTTTGGTATAATTCAAAAGCAAAAAACAAGGTCTGAAGCATGTGCTGGAAGCATCTGGGTTTTATGGTTCAATTTTGTCCATCTCTAATGTTATTGATCTTTCATATTTTCTGTAGGTATTTCTACTCATTGTTCTTGCTCCCTGCCATTTAAAAAATGACTTTCTTGCCCTAAATCCCTGCAACCAGGCAGCTGCCACTTGGTGTGCATCAGAGCAGCATGTTGACAGCTGCACTGCTGGCTGCAGAAGCAGGGCTTTATTTGAGCTTCCAGTGCTGAGCCAGTGGAGTAGCCTGGTGCTGAGCGGCTCCTCGGCCATCTACCTGAGTTTATTGCTTGAATAGTTAGAGACCAAATGCTAATAGCAGCTTAAAACCTATGTTTTAAAGGCTAGGAGAATCAGTTCCTTATGATTTGAAAAAACAAAACAGTTTAGCACAAGTGCAGTCCCTCTAAAATTAGGAGGAGGAGAGATGTATTATCATCACGGAGATGCAGCAGCTCTAAGTGCTTCCTGTGGAGCCTCAGCTTTTCCAGCTGGGACCCCTGCTCTGTCCCTCGCTGCTATCCTCTGATACACCCAGAGGAAGAAAAATCTCCCTCTTGTAGCCAACGGATGAGACTGGCTGCGTGGCTGTGCTTTGGAAAGGGAAGCAGCGGGGCTTTGCAGCCCTCCTGTCCCTTACAATTACTGTTCCCGTGCAGCCCTCGTGGGCCCGCTGTGCTTGTGCTGGCTGCTGCGCCGCTGCCTCCGGAGCTGCCGTTCAGCCCTCGGGGCAGCCTCGTGCGGGTGTCCCAGGGCTCTTCGGGCTGTCACCCTAATCTCCCTTTTGGTCAGATGCTTTGGAGAACATGATCAGCTTTCTAGCTGTCAGTGTTAGCAGTGCCAGCTCACTGTCATGGAGGATTTGAAAGTTCCCCTGGAAAAAAGCCTGTGTTTTTTGCTGGGGCTGTATTGCTTCATTTTACTACTTTGTACTTGCTGTCCTTTTCTCTAGCTATTTTTTATTTTAAATAAAAATGCACAAGTATTGCATTCAGCATTTTTTCTGCTTAAACATTCATAGAACAGAAAATGATTTGTAGAAGAATAAAGCACCTATTATGTAGCTGGTGAACAACCTAAAAGATACGGTACTTTCAGAAATTGGTGCAGGGGATGTGTGTAGAAAAACAATAGCTCTCAATATAAGATGCACTTCATTCCCCTTTTAACATATTTCCTCCCAGAAATATTAATCCATTTTATTTACTCTATCTGCAAAATATGTAAATACCTTTGTTCTTACTTTTGTGCTGCAGTAGTACCAAAAAAAAAAA